ACTTTTAATCCAGGTTACAATAATCCACACTTTTAATCCAGGTTACACTCTTCCCTCAATGACACATTTTACAAAGTAGCTACATATTGTGCAGGTATAAAGACACATTTGTATATATTTTTGTGTACATTTATTTTTTTAAGCTATTTGACTAACTTTTATTTTTTATTATTTAATATTTTACTAACACAATAGTCAAATAGCAACCTGTTTTTAGTGTGAATAGCTATGTCAGTCAAATGTTCAATTTTGGAATAAAGGGGTGGAAATTAAAACGTGGTTTGTGTTTTTTGCCGATTTATTGATTAATCAAAAAAATAATCGGCCGATGAATCGATTATTGAAATAATCATTAGTTGCAGCCCTAGATTGAATGAGTTCAGAGGAACTGTGTCTCAGCTGATCATCAATAATCAGCTCCGTCTGATGATGTCATCTTGTGGGTGTGTCCTCAGACTGGAACACCTGACGCTGCTCAAAGGGCTCATCGTCCTTGAGGAGTTCTGTAAGGAGCTCGCCGCCATCGCCTTCATCAAGCTGCCACTGGACCAGGACTGACTCACCTGGACAGACCAGGAGTCCGGTACGTCTCACCTGGATCCTGGAGTCCGGGAGCGGGAAGGAAGTCGTCTCTAGCAGTTTGTTTCCTTTCAGAATAAGAGTTTGATCAAACTACACACTGATCACCTGTCAACAACACTGCCTTATGCCCCGCCCACTTGGCTCTGCTACCTGTTGGAGTCAGCCAATCAGACTCCGCCTGAAAGCAATGATGCGGAGTAAAGTAAGGTTCTATATTTGATGAACCAGATCAGGTGGACCAGAATCTAAGAACTGACCTGGTCCAGGATCAGGTTCTGCACTACCTGCAAGACTCCAAATATTTTATTTATTGAAAATCAACAAAGTTTCTGCCAAAGAGTCGAGACGTTTGTTAAAGTTTCAGAGCGTTCTGACGACAGAACGCCGCGGGGCGCCAGAGACCGCCTCCAACAGGAAGTGTGACCTCACCGAGCTCCTCCAACAGGAAGTG